TGCGAAATATAATGGCAAACGAGCAGCAGAACATCCGGTCTTATCGCGGATACGGAAACTCCGCCGAGCTCGCGTACAACCACCTGAAGAACCTGTATCAAGCAACCGACAGCGTTAATCAAAGTCGTCTCATGGTGCAATTAACAACGGTCCAAATGCAACCCGACAAAAAGGGAATGGCATATATCAGTCCCTTTCACGGTCTGCGCGATAGACTCCTTCGATGCGGCGGATCAATCTCCGAACAAGCGTTCGTCACTGGCGTCATCACATGTCTCGGTCCTCAGTGGCGCTCCACTCGAGCCATTCTCCGAGCCCACGGAAGAATCTCCGAAGCAAATCTCTGCACCGAAATTCATGCCGAACAACAAGACATGGACCTGCACGAAGAACGACAAAAGAAAATAAGATCAGCACCGGAGTTCGCCTTTCACACCCAACGGCGCAACAACAACAACAACCGACAACAAGAGCACCAAGCACGAAGATACGTACCACCATTCTGTCATCTCCGCGGAACGTCAGGACACTCTTGTATTCATTGCCCGAATCAGCAGCAATTGACACCATCACCACGTCAGCTTCGACCCTCAAGTATTCAAGTGACTTCCACACAGCAGCATCCATCGAATTATGCGCCGTCTTCAACGACAACGTCACAACCTGCACAAGGAACAAGAAACATCATAAGCTGTATGACAAGAACGGACTCATGCATCATCGGTTCACCACCAACCTACTCACCAGAAGAATTGCTCGACAAAAGCACACCTCGTCGGGAATCACTGGAACCAAACCCGACATATGCAGCTATCGCACAGAGCGAACCGTCCAGTCAAGACACTTGGTTCTTGGATAGCTGTTGCGGACAACAAATGTTCTCGTCAAGTCGCTTTGTTCAACGGGAACAGCACCTCAACCGGGAAGTCGTGATCACCGTTGCCAACAACCAGAACCTGCACACACCAAGACAAGGAGTAGTTCAACTTCAGTCCTGCAAAACTAACGTTGTTTTGCAGATGTTGAAGGTTTTGGTTGCAGAAGGATTGGGCTACAACTTACTAAGCGTCAGCTAGCTCATGGCAAAAGGGATTCATCTTGAAGCCAACAGCACCACTCAGGAATTCAAACTGTACAATGGGAGGGGCGGAATTTACATCGGGAAAGCGGTCCTGAAGAACAACGTCTTCGTTCTCGACTTTGTCCTAGATTAAGGAACTGCTGACAGCGACGCAATCGTCAACTTCACCACTTGGTCACACCCACCAGATCTCGATTCAGACTTCAGCCCTGGAGGCTTCAGGTACTCACACACTATACCTGAAGCAGAACGGACAAGGGCGTTAGCAGTGATTCAACAGACAACAGCAGCAGCAACAACATCGGCAGTAGCAGAGACAACAGCAGCAGCAGCAGCATCGGCAAAAGCAGAAGCAACAAGAACAGCACCAGCACTAATCGCCAGCTCTTCATCAACACAGACTCACGCTCAATAGCTGACTCTCGCTGCATGAGACATCCACAGAAGTGCTAACATCACTGCAGGTTTCTACTCCAACTCCGACCTGTACAGACGTTCACCTGGACATCGCGCCGACGAATCATTGTGGCATCAAAGGCTAGGACATCCCAGCAACACGACACTAAACAACTCGATAAGAGCAGGAGTTCTCGACAAAGATTCACTACTCTTACCCGACGGAAGAGAACTTCAACGAGTCTGCGGAACCTGCTTTACGTGTCCTGAAGCCGACTTACCTCATCAGCCATTCGTAACTCACCACAACCCAAACACGCCATCATATGCACTGTTGGAGAAGGTCTACAGCGACATACTGTACACCCGCGAAAGCGGACAGGGAGTATACAACTACGTAATCACGTTCATCGACGCCGCCACCAGATACGCGTGGCACCTCAATCTTCCAAGTCGCGACATGGCCTTCCAAGCCTTCGTCGCTTGGCTCCTAGTAGCAGAGAGGGAATCAGGAGTGAAGCTGAAAAGTTTCCAGTCAGACGGGGGGGGGGGGGGGGAGAATATCAATCACAGCGCTTCAAGCAATACCTGGCGAAAAGAGGCATCAAGAGACTCATCTCTCTTCCCTACGCTTATCAATAGCAAGGCGTGGCAGAAAGAATGAAAAAGACCCTCCAGAACACCATGCGCAAGCTGCTACGTGGCATGCGACTACCCAACCATCAATGGCCTGAGGCGATGGACCACGCTGTGCTGCTACACAACTTGCTTTCGTCATCGTCGCTTCCAAACAATGCATCACCGCACCTGCTGTGGACAGGAAAATTGGGCAACACAAAAATGTTACGAGTTTTTGGCTGCATGGTACAGTACCGACCTCACACTGCACGAGCTGGATAATTCTCACAATGCACACAATGGGGATTACACCTGGGCATCGAAAAACATTACAACGCGTGGAAGATTTTCGATGTCCACTTGAAGGAAACAGTAGCAGCACGTGACGTGATTTTCTACGAACGACTCACTCTCCAAACGTACCTGGACAACTTGGCAGCAGAACAAGACCTCACGGGTGGCTTCCGTGGCAACCGAGCCTTCGTCTCGCCAGCAGATGAGGCTGACTGGGATGAACAAAACGTGGACGCAGCATCGGAGGAAGCCGGACCTCTTCCCTACTGTTCGGTACCCGTTCCGATGGACGACAAAAACCCTCGCGAAAGCATCAATGCCGAAGTCTACTACGACTTCGCCGACAATGGTTACGTTACACCCCAACCTGTCAACACAAACGTTTCAGAACGCATAGACCCCAACTTCTTACCTGATCCAGAAGCGGGAGACGAAGCAGTTTATCCCGAGGACCCAAATATTCCCCGCTACACACAGAGTGGGCTGCACCGCTGATGGCAGGCTCGTCACCGCAGTCCATGGCGCACCAATGCCGCGAGAGCCAGCAGGCTCTGGGGGGGGGGAGCACAGGGAAAAATGGCGTGAAGCCATGGGCAGGGAGTTAAAAGCGCTGGAAGACAGAAACACTTGGAAGATAGTACCCATCGGAGTGGCACGCAACAAAACCATTCTCACAGGAAAATGGGTCTTCTGCGTGAAAACGAAACTGATGGGACAATTGACAAATTCAAAGCACTATGGGTCGTGCGTGGCTTCGACCAAGAGCAACGACGAGACTTCACCGAGACTTTCGTGCCAGTCAGCCGACATACCTCTTTGCGAATCCTCCTCGTGATAGCCGCCATGAAACAGAAGAAGCTCCGCCAAATCAACGTAGCTAACGCGTTTCTCTACGCTCCTGTCGACGTCGAAATCTTCGTCGAGCAACCACACGGATCCGACACAGACCCTAATCAAGTCTGTCAGCTGCTGAAGTCCCTGTACGGCATCAAGCAAGCTCCGCGGCTGTGGCAGCAGTACCTACACGCCCGATTAATCCGCATTGGCTTTCAGCAACTACCACACGACTAGGGCATGTACAGACTCACGAAGGAAGCCGAATACATCCTGCTGATCGTGTACGTAGACGATCTGCTCTACATAGGCTCTACCGACGACATCACCACATAGTTTGAAGGGGAGCTGCAACAGGATCTCTCACTCACAGTCACTTCCACCGTAACTCAGTACCTGGGACTCAACATATTCGACGGAGAGAACGCGATCTACCTCAGCGCCGTAAAACACGCCGACACAATCGCCAAACGCTTTGGATTATCGCCAGCCGCCATATCCACGCCCTATCGTTACACCGCCAGAAATCACGAGGAAAAGTCTAATCCGCTAGGACATGCCGAACTACGCGACTACCAGCGGAAACTTGGATGCTTACTCTTCGCAGCCGTTACCTGCCGATCGGACCTGTCGTACTCAGCGAGCCAACTTGCTACCTATCTCAAACGGCCCAAAGTAGAGCAAATGGCGGAACTCGACCGCGCGTTACACTACCTTGTTAGCACACCTACGATCGGCCTAACCTACCACAAGACCAGAACCACTACTCCAAAGCTAATCAGCTACGTGGACGCTGACCACGCAGGCGACTCTGACAACAGGCGATCACGCACCGGCTACATCTATTGACTTGAGCCCTTCGGTCCTATCTCGTGGCAGACGAGCAAGCAAGAACTAATTGCTCTCTCCTCTGCTGAAGCAGAATACATTCCACTTTGCTCAGCCACCAAGGAAGGACTATACCTTCGCGAACTACTAGAAGAAGCAAAGCTGGCCCACTTACCCAGCTTCTCCCTCTTCTGCGACAACCAATCTGCAATTCGCATAGCGAACAAGAGCGGGTTCGCGAACCAAACGTAACACATTGCCCTACGCAATTTCTTCGTGAAGGACGAGATCGAGAAAGGGAGACTCGAGCTATCCTATTGCCCCACGTCCGAGATGGCAGCAGATTACCTGACCAAGAAACCCGGAAAGCAGAAGTTCGAGTACTGCATGTTGCTGACTGGACAGGGCCACGTCACTAGCAACGAAGGCGATGACACTCCAGAAGCGAAGGGGAGTGTTGGAAACATCTAATTCACGCTTCTGATGTGTCGAGCATTATAACAAGAACGAAGCATATCCACAGCGAAGCAACATAGAGTCAACCGAGATACAGCAAAGCGGTCGACAAGGCGACAACAACAAGAGGTTGAAAGCGAAGGTCAAAGGTCAGCAAACCTTTGACTCGACAAAGACAGCGCGACAGCAAGGACAAATAGCTGACTCGCTATTGAGCAGTTACCCGAGTCGTCGCTGTATCGAACCGCATTAGCACTTACAATTACAGTTAGTGAAACATTTCATAGTCTCTGTAATCATATTAAAGCCCTTGTATCTCTATGCCATAATCAACTAATCTTGTTCTCACATACTAGTGCAAGGTGGTTCAATTAATCCACTATTACGCTTCCGCTAAATACATCACTACTCTGAGACTTTAGTCTTGAAAACGATCCTAAGGGCTTTCTCAGCCCAACAAAAAGCTGCAAGTCGTGGACGTGGACGAATGCTTTTACAAATGCCTGGCTCGCACCGAGGATGACTCACCAACCTCCTTAGAGGCCGCACCTGGGGTAGCCACGTGGCCACCCCTCATGCACAGTTACGATTGTTATTGCTTATGTATGCTTGTTCTGTCGGTGTACATATCAATTACCTTAAAAAAAAAAACTTATCAAGGTAGATGCATGTGTAAGTCCCAGGGAGACTATAAATAGTAAAGAGTTTACACATATGTTGCACCATGGTACAACCGCCTAAGGTTTATTCTAATGAGTTGTCAATCAAATGGTTAGATCCCATAGAGAGCAGCATGTAAAAGCCAGCTGGTCTCGGGATGTTATAGTTCCAAAAGTACGAATTAAGTGATAACCTGCGGGGACCAGAGTACCTTCTCGGGCAGCTCTTGAATCTTGGCCGAAACTTGTAGAGCAACGAGCTAGTCTTCAATCCGAAATCGTTGCGGCGAAGATTCCGGAAACCCGCCTTTTTCGGGTAAGTAATGGGGATCTGCGTCAGGTTGCTCAAAATGTCGATATTATCGACAGTCAAGCAGTTTTCATAACCCATCGACTCCGTGTTGTTGCTGATGGTAACCAGGTCGATATTATTCTCCGTGGGAAGCCCGCTACAGTTGCCGGTGATTGTAGCATTAAGCCCGAAGTCTGGGTTGCATATCATTCCCCCGTTCACGTCGGTTTGGGTGCAGATCTGCTGCAGATAGGGGTACGCCTGTAAGGAGGGAAAGAGGGATTGGGTACCACGAGGGATAGGAGGGTGGAAAGGTGTGGCAGGAGAAAAGAATGAGCTTCCAATATATAGCATGCATGCCTCCATTCACTTCGGTCTGGGTGCAGATCTGCTGCATTTAGGGGTAGGCCTGTGGGGTGAAGAGGGAACGAAGGAACATATTCTATAAGAATTGGGGGGTCAGATGGGTTGCAGAGAGTAAAATTAGAGAGCATATGCTGAATTCATTCATACAGCAAAGGGGACCCAGAGGGAGAGGAGGGGAAGGGAGGACTTTTGAGGCACCTCAAACGGAAGCCAGACTATACCGAGCTTACAGTGTATATAACAAGGGAACTGTAGTGATTGAGCCGCATCACCTCCCAATAGGTCTCCAACTCCTCTCAACAGTTAACGGAGGAGACTGAAGAAAACAAACTATAGCAAGACTATAGCGAGCTTACAGTGTATTTAAGGAGAGTATTTAAGGCCCATTGCTTCCCAATACGGCCCGGAATTTTCCAGGCAATCAACGAAGGAAACTGAAAACATCATAATATAATTAGCTTACAGTGTTTATAGCAGCGGAATTGTAGTATTTCAGCCTCATCGCCTCCCAATAGGACCCCGGCTTCTTGAGACAGTTGACGGTGGTAACTGTAGGGCAGGCGATGGATCCTGCAGTTCCAGGCACTTCATTCATGATCACATGCTTCATAACGTTCCTGTAACGAGGGTTGTGGAAGGGGCAAGAAAGGACGTGCATTGATTGGACCCTGTAGTTCCAGGCACTTCCCTTCATTATCACGTGCTTCACAACGTTCCTGTAACGAATGGAACGGGGGGGTGGGAGAGAGAGAGAGAGAGAGAGGACTTAGCCTCTGCCCTCTGCCTCTGCCCTCAGTCCCTAGCTATATAAGTGTCCCGTGGAGACCTCTTTTCTTCATTAGTTCATTTGGTTCCAGTTTTCGTAGGCGCTCGCGCTGGCGGCCTTCGGCCGCCAGCACTCGCGTGCGCGGCCTGCGGCCGCGTGCTTTTGGGTGGCAAAGACTAGAGGTAGGACAGATATAGGCACACACGGCAAGACAACTATGGGCAATGTGCCCACCTTCTAGACACCGAGATGCAACAGGTCTACATACGGCGGGTGCCTGAGGCTACATCAACTGGGCATCCAGTGCCGCAAGGATCCAGTGCGGGTCCTCCACAACTGCTGGACCACTAACGCGGTCGCGCCGACAGCTTCAATCGCGCCTCCATCGCGGAGGTGTGCTGTCAGACCCTGGACCGTCTCGTCCAGCTGCGAGACCGCTACGCCTCCCAGCGCGGGCGCTCCCAGCACGGGTAGGAGGAGGAAGGCAAGCTGGGCAGCAGCCGCCATGCAATCAGCTCGCGCATCACGATCAAGAGTGCTCCCTGGGTTCCGGAGAATGGCAAAATGTGAGTTCACCAGAATCAGTGTCAGGGCCTGCTGACACTCCACCAATCGCCACAACTGGGCGAGAGTCGCCGTGGGAACTTGGGCCAGCCCAGTGGTCAGTAGCGCAGCCGGAGCAGGAAGAGAGGGCGGGGGCTGCACTGATGGAACATCAGCACGCTGCCGCGGAGGGACGAAGGCCACCCTCGCCCCTCCGCCTCCCGCCCCCACAAATCCCGTGTCTGGAAGAGGAGGAATCCATGGCAGCAGAGGATATGGCGCAGCAGAAACAGGACACAAGGATGCACGCGGAGCACGATCAGCGCCAGGAGCGGGAACCCGCGGGTACGCCAATGCGGGTGGCGCAGGAGCAGCAAGGGGCGCGGCCGGAGCTTGCGCATTCACTGGAGCGGGGGCGGACGCAGGAGCGGCGGGAGCCAGAGAGTTTCCAAGATTCGGTGCGCCACTCAGGGCACTGCGCATCGCCGCAGCTAACATCCCCGGGAAATCCTCGCGCAGCTGCTGCATCTCGCTTGGCCCACCGCGCCCGCGACCGTGACCTCCCCACCAGCCACCGCGGCCTCCGCGGTGCGCCGACCGGTACGACGAGGAGGGGCGTCGCCGAGGAGAACCTCGCCCCCGATGCGCTGCCGCATTGCCCCCCGCGGCACCGTGAATCTGAGACTCCGCGTGCCGCTGCGCGACGGGATGCACCGGCGCAGCCGCAGGGGCCACCAGGCGGGCAGAGTCGGGGCCGGCGCCCACCGCTGTCCCCGGCGCAGGGCCCCCGGCGGCAGCTTGGACAGACAGCGCGGCCACAAGCGACGGCTGCGCGACGGGAACCGGCGCGCCGGACGTGGGATCAACGTGTGGAAGGATCGGAGGGGGAGCCGACACCGGCGGGACTGGAACAGAGGACGCCGCAACAGCAACAGGAGGAGCCGGGGGGGCAAAGGGAGCAGCAGCAACAGCTACACCAGCAACAAGGGCCGGAGGCGGAGCAATCGCGCTCTCAGCGGTGCGACCTTGATCCAACGCTGACTTCTCCGCTTCAGTCGCCATTGCGGCGAACGCGCCGACAGCAGGTGATCGAGGACGCACGGCTGCGTCAGAACGCGGGAGTAGGTAGTCGCGGAAATCCCCAGCTGACCGCGGCCAGTGCGCGGGCACGAGGGGGTCGAGCCGGAGGTCGCGGACGTGGTAGAGGCACTCGTGAAGGAGGTCCGGAGAACGCGTTCCAGGCAGCGGCGCGAAGGGCTTTAACTGAATTAGCTAGAACTAACGAAGAAGTAGAAGTATCGGGGAGTATTTATGAGGCGGAGGAGGGAGAAGAAGGCGTACCCTCAACTTCGAATGCCTCGGAGGAGGCCCAGTCACAAACTCCAGCTCGGGGGAGAATCAGCTCAACCCATGCCCGAAGCGCGTCATCAAATTTCAGAAACACATTCACCCAGCCGCGACCCTCACCACAGATTCAAACCGCTTCCCGCCCCCCTGCCACCACTGCCAACCATCCCGCCCAACCGAACCTGACTTCGCCACCTGCAAATGCACCGCGAACTGCAGCGAGGGGTAACCAACAGCAACCACAGCCCCCCCCCCAAAAATCGCCCGAAGCCCTCGCCAAGGACGACACACTATTCGCGAACGTCAGTACCTGGAATCTGGATAAGCTACGCGATAGTCGCAACGCTCCGCTGGCACGTCGCCTGCCGGAAAAATTGCGCCTACTTTTCGCTATGGTTATGCTGACACCACTGCTACGACTCGCACACGACCCAGACTCCATCCCGGCCTGGACGATTCTGCTGTTCGCGGCTCGCCTGACGCTGCGTCAGCATTCGCCGAGGCACCCTGACTGGAAGGCGACCAGGGAAAGATTGCGTAAATTCCTGCGAGGGGAGTGGGAGGCACTGTACCAGGAAACGGTTGATTCGTTGGAGTCCCCTCAGCCACCTAGACACCAGCCAGACGACCTAGGGGTAATATCAAGGGCAGAGGGTCTGGCGCGACGAGGCAGCTTACGCAGAGCAGTCATGGCACTGGAAGCCACCCCAGTCAGCAAGCCATCACCGGCGGTTCTGGAATCCCTCCGCGCCAAGCATCCAAGTGCCCCGCGCCCTGGCACACCGTGGCCCCAGCCTGAACCGGACTCATACCTGGCAGTTTCGCGGGAAGTTTTTCTGAAGCTCCTCTCGCGGTGTGAGAATGTGGTAGGCGCAGGTCCCTCGGGCACAACGTTCGAGCACCTGCGCGAAGCTGCCCTGATACACGCCACCGTTGGGTATCACTTACATGCGTTGGTCAACACAATCCTGAGAGGGAAGTTGTGTCAGGAAGTAGGGAAGCTTCTCACAGCATCACGTTTGATAGCCCTAGACAAGCCCGATGGGGGGACCAGGCCGATCGCCATAGGAGAGTGCGTCCTCCGATTGGCAGCCAAAGCAGCGCTTACCCAGCTAGCAGAAGCAGCCCGAGAGTTTTTCCTACCTTTACAGTTTGGAGTGGCCGTGCCAGGAGGTGCCGAAGCAGTCATTCATATCGTTCGCACTTTCACTGCGGCCAACAAGGACGCCTTGGTCTTACAAGCTGACCTGGCCAATGCGTTCAATAGTGTTGACTGCCACGCCATAGCGACGGCAACAGTTGGAACCACTGCTGCCACTGGTACACTTCTTATACGGACAGCCTTCAATTCTGCACCTAGACGCGGCCTTCGACCATCCGCCCCTGCTCACTGAAACAGGAGTCCGCCAGGGGGACCCTCTCGGCCCCCTCCTTTTTGCCGCTGCCATGCAACCGGCTCTGAAGGCAGCTGCGGAGGCGCACCCCGAGGTCATCTGCTTGGCATACGCAGATGACGTGACCTTCTTGGGGGAACCGTCGTCGTGCGCGGCTGCGTTTAATCACTTCACAAGCCGCTTGGCTGAAATAGGGCTCAGCCACAATCCTGCCAAATGCGGGGCTTGGTCAGAAAGGACGCCCACGGATTATCGCCTTCCCGAGGGAATACCACCGAGCAGCGAAGGCTTGAAAGTGCTGGGGAGCTACATCGGCTCCTCCTCGGCAACCTCTGCCTTCGTTCGTTCCAGCTTGGAGGCGATGGGCGCGCCGCTGGGGTTGATTGAGCGCATGGAGCCGCAGCTGGCGGGACTGCTGCTGTCCCGCTGCATCTCACGGCGGGTGTCATACTTAGCCCGCACAACTCCTCTGCCTTTCCTGCCCAAGGAGGAGTGGTCTGAATGGGGAAGGCGGCTGCTGGAAACGCTCCTTACAGCATGTGGCATTAACCACCCGCGGGGGGATGAGGAAACTTCTCGCACGTGGGCGCAAGCCTCACTACCCATATCGCTCGGTGGCCTGGGGCTGACGGACCCTTTCGTGGAGGGAAGCTACAGCTTCCTCGCCAGCTACACGCAGGCGCAGCTCTTACTCGACTCCTTGGACAGCGAGTGCTCTGGCCCTTCGGAAGTCACGCGCGAGCTGATGCGCGGCCCCTACACCGAGTCCTCCCCCCTGACCGAGTGGCTGGCGGAATGCGAAGGGGAACTCCCACTTCCAGCCCAAGAAGTTCTTCAGGCTGAGAGATCGGCTCCAACTGCGGGGAAACTGCAGCACGGGTTGGCCACGGCTATCCAGGGCCAGCGCTATGCCGTGCAGGTGGACGAGGTGCGGGGGATGAGCCCGAACCCCAACAACGGTCAAACGCAGCGGATGCTGTCCCTGTCGAGTTATGGGGCGGGGGATTGGTTAAACGCAGTGCCTATCCACTCCTCGCTCCGCCTTGAGGCTCCCCACTTTGCCAACGCGCTCCAGTTTAGGCTGGGGCTCCCATTTGCGGCTCCTGGGGTTTGCAACTGCTCGAAAAAGGTGGAGATCCCGGATAAGCGGCTCCCGAACCACCTGCTACGATGCGGAACAGGGGGGGGGCGCACAAACACACACAATGAACTTAGGGACGAGTGCGCACGGATGGCGCAAGACGCAGGCTTCATGGTGCATATAGAGATGGCCGCCTTCAGCCCAGTGGAGGAGAAGAAGGCAGACCTGGCCTTACGCTGCCGCTCCACTGGCGCCGTCTATATCTGCGATGTGACGGTAACGGACCCCATCAGCACCCGCGATGAGAACGCCACCAAGGGGAGGGGGTGGGCGGCACGGGAGGCAGCAGATAAGAAACACGGCCTTTACAAGGACCGCCCAGAATGGGTGAAGTTCTTCCCACTAGCGGTCGAGACATATGGGTGCCCTTGCCCAGAGTCAGTAGACTTCCTGAAACTACTCACGGAAACAGCTGCACGGCGTTTTTTCAACGCCGAGCCAACCTCCTACCAAGCTGCCAAGCTCTTACACCAATACCGGCAGCTGTGGTCGGTGGCTCTTCAGCGTGGGCAGTCGATTGGGTACCTGGAAAAGTGCAACATAGCAGCAGCGGTTGAAAACCCGCTACTAGAAGCAGTGGGAGAGGCCCCGTCCCTTGGGGACTGCCTCTCGGTTCTTGATCCTGCACTGGATCTCACTTAGAGGGTGTTGGGCGGATGGGTGGATAGGAACTTTATTCTGTACTAGCCACTTGACCACGATCACGTATGCCTTGCATGTCTGTACACCTTGACTATCAATGAAAGGGGCATTGGAGAGAGAGAGAGAGAGAGAGAGAGCGTCTGGGATCTCATGCAATTCGTAGCGTTGTTCTGGGCAATTATTTTCTCATTATCACATACTTCGGAGCGTTATCACAGTGAGACTGTTTCGAAGCGGGACCGACTTACCGGTACATCTTCCATTCGTTTTCCCCATGCCTCGACGGGTATACATGCACCAAAACCACCTTCGATTCTACTCGTTGCACCCCAAGCAAATACCGAAGTCACATCTTTCCCTTGTCGATCCTCACGGCTCGTTGGGGTTACATGCGCAAACTCCGGTGCACCAAAACCCATTTCTTTGGGGTGTCTCAAAGACTTACGATGATGACCTATGAGCAAGAAAGCCTAACATATTCCCGTTGTTGATCCACACGCCTCGTTTTGCGAACATCCACGCACTCCCGTGCACCAAAACACCCGATGACTCTGAGGTGCATCGAGGACCCAGAATGTACTAGGAGCAAAAAAAACACATCTTGCCGTTGTTGATCCTCACGCCCTGTTTCGCGTACATGCACGCGCCTCCGTGCACCAAAACACCTTTCAATCCTATTTGAGGCACCTAGAAAAATCACCATAGACAAAAGCAAACTCACATCTTGCCATTGTTGATCCTCACGCCTTGTTTCGCGTACATGCACGCGCCTCCGTGCACCAAAACGCCCGATGACTGGGCGTCCAGGTCATAGCAGAGGGCACCGTTTACAACGTAGTTGCAGGAAGCAACGTTGCCTGGGGGGGAGGGCGGGGGAGTGGGGAACGTGGGGGAGAAGAGAGGATGAGGCCAACACCTAGAATGCCTGGGTTGGGCCGTCCAGGTCATAGCAGAGCGCGCCGTTGACAACATAGTTGCACGACGCAACGTTGCCTGGAGGGATGTTGGGGGGAGGGGAGTGGGGAGAGGGAGGATGAGGACAGCACCTAGAGTGCCTAGATCGGGCGTCCAGGTCATAACAGAGTGCACCGTTGACAACATAGTTGCAGGACGCAACGTTGCCTGGAGGGGAGGGGAGGGGAGGGGGAAATGAGGGGGAGGGAAGATACACAAATGAGGGAAAGGTGACTCTTGAAAAACGTCCCATGGTCATGGCAGAGAGCGCCGTTGACAACGTAGTTGCAGGAAGCAACGTTGCCCAACGTTGTTAGGGACATTGACGAGCATGCAGTCTCCTCCCACGAATCTCGGCCCGGCGCCACACATGATCCCCGCGCCTGTGAACCCGTGCACGTAGTTACAAGCTACCGCCTCCCCCACCGCTCCTACCACTGCCACTCCCCACCGCTATACGCTCTGCTACACCCACCACTCCTACCACCCGCTCCCCTGTGCGTTCGAAGGAGGGAGAGTGACCTCACCTGGGTTGATCCAATGAGTGGAAAAGACAATCCCGATGGCTTTTCCTGCGCCAGGCATGGCACCCCAGGGAGCTTGCACGACATTATTCGACACGTTCACGAGCATGCAGTCTCCCACGAATCTCGGCCCGGCGCCACACATGATCCCCGCGCCTGTGAACCCATGCACATAGTTACTCGCCACCGCCACCCCCACGGCGCCCCGGTGCAGCACTATGCCGATCCGCGCGTTGTACACCTCGTTATTCGTTATAAGCACGTTGGATTTGAGGAGGGATGGGCCGATGCCGGATAGGGCCACGCGGATGTGAGCGGGGGAGGCGACGGAGGGGAGGGATGGCGCGGTGATCTTGAGAGAGTCGACTCGCACGTTCATGCTCCGAACCACATCAACTCGGCCGTACACAGTACCCTGCATGAAAGCGAATGGAATGGGGAGAGGGGAGCGGATGGGAGGGAGGGGAGGGAGCAGGGCGAGGGAGGGAGAGGTTAGGTTTATCATAAGCACAGAAGGAGGCCGATGCAGGAGAGAGAGCGACGCGGATGTGGGCGGAGGACGCGACGGAGGGGAGGGATGGTGCTGTGATCTTGAGAGAGTCAACCCGCACGTTCATGCTTCGAACCACGTCTACCCTTCCATACACCGTACCCTGCATGGGAGGGAGAGCAGAGAATGTCACAGGGAAGGCAAAAGAGGGGAGGGAGCAGGGCGAGGGAGGGAGTTGGGTTCTCTTCAGAGCAGGAACGGGCCAATGCTGGAGAGCGCGACGTGGATGTGGGCGGGAGAGGCGACGGAGGGGAGGGATGGCGCTGTGATCTTAAGTGAATCGGCCCTCACGTTCATGCTTCGAACCACGCCTACCCTTCCATACATACACCATGCCCTATAAAGGCGAAACAGGGCAGAAGGTACAGGAGGGGAGAATGGGGGTTACACCACAGGTCAGTGACAACAAGACGAGGCGACGGAGGGGAGTGCTGGGGCATTGAGACAGTCGACACTCACGTTCATGCTCCTCATAACGTCTACCCTCCCATACACTGTGCACTGCAGTAGAGGGAAGCACGAGGGGAGGCATGGGAGTGGGGAAGGTGGCTGATGGAAAGGGCTGGGGCGGTGATCATGAGTGAGTCGACCCGCGCGTTCATGCTCCGGAGGGTGGAGGCAAGGGAGGGGGAGAACGCGACAAGATTGGTTTTGAGACGAACCAATCAAAATTTCACGTGATCATGAGTGAGTCGACCCGCACGTTCATGCTCCGGAGGGTGGAGGCAGGGGGTAGACGAGGGAGGGAGGAAGGGAAGGAGGGATGGAGCAAGGCCGGGAAACTGTGAGGAAGGGAGGCAGGAAGGAGAAGGTTCTTACCGCTCCAACCTGCACGCCGTACGATCGGTGAATGGCAATCGCCGGACACACCGATGTCTTGTCCGCCCCTTGAAACCCCGCACATGCCGTCGAGCCCGGCCCCACCCCCACCTTCCAATTCACATTCACCGACACGATACATGGTGCGCCTCTCGAACCCCAGAGAGAGAGATGAGGGACGTAAGAAGAGAGGGTGGGAGGGCTGGAATGGAGTGAGGGAGGGAGGGAGAGAGGGAGGGAGGGAAAGAGGGAGGGAGGGAGGCAGGCAGATAGGTTCTTACCGCTCCTACTTGCACGCCGTACGATCGGTGAATGGCAATCGCCGGACACACCGACGTCTTGTCCGCCCCTTGAAACCCCACACACGCCGCCGACCCCGGCGCCACCCCGACCTTCCAATTCACATTCACCGACACAATGTTACTCGCATTTTCCACCTTAAAAGCCGGCATGTCACTCCCGGGATACTCAATAGTATACCCCGGCCACATCCCTACTGTCGACATGAGCAGCGAGCACGAAAACCCCACGCCGAAAACGAGTCCCGAGGAGAGAACTAGGTTGTTTTGCAGGTACATGACGACTGTAACGTTGGGAGGGATTTGTAACCGGAGGTTGAAATCGGCAGGAGTGGTGATGTTTAGAACGTAGACTGCTCGCAGACTCGTGCAGCCGCCTTTCGGGCGTTTGACAGAGGGCTGGCGAGAAGGGGAGGGGGGGTGGGAGGAGGAGGGGGGTGAGGTGTCGCCGCCACTGTTGCTGTTTTGGACTGAAGTGACTGGCCATGTCAGAAAGCCGGCCATGGGGTTGGTTGTGGGCGGCAGGATGGTGAATGGGAACGGGATGGGGCCTTTGAGCTTGGCCGGCAAGCGTTGTTTCGTAATGCCTTTGCTGCCTTGTCCGCTGCTTTGTTTGCTGCTGCTGCTGCTGCGCTGTGGTTGCATGGGTGTGTTAGGATGGCGCTTGAACCCTCCCCCTGCTGCTGCTGCTGCTTCCTCAACCTTCCCTGCTGCTGCTGCTCCCTCCACCCTCCATCCCTCTACTCCCTTCATCGTCCCTTCCTTTTCTCTCTTCACACTCCCTCCCTTCACGCTCTTCACACTCCCTCCCTTCACGCTCTTCACACTCCCTTCACCTGCCCCCCCCACACCTCCCTCCGCTGGCCCCTCCTTGTTCCACTGTTCCTTGCCCCCTTTCCCCCCTCTCTTCTCGTCCAATGAGCTGCTGCCACGTGGAATGAGCGCAAACGAGACGTCCTTAGCAGCAAGAGCCATATAATCATGGTCCCGTTCAGTCACATCCCCGTTATTGTCACTCTCCTCTTTCATCACATCCTCGTTATAGTCACTTCCGCTCCTCTCCGTAGTGTCAGCTCCATCAACAGTAGCAGCATCAAGCACTCCACCATAACCATCCTCGCTATAAGCATCACCAGCACCAGCAGAGTCAACAGAGCCAGAAACATCCAAAGGCCAAGTGAAAGGCCCCAAGCCAGAGCTCCCCTTTGTTGACTCGGTTGACTGGGGTTGAGGGGTCAACCCCGGGTGCCCAATAGCCCCCGCCACGTCTCTTGCAGCCATTGCTACCAGCTCTTCATCCGTTGACTCAGTTGACTCGGTTGACTCGGCTGACTCGGTTGATTCAGTTGACTCGGTTGACTCTGTTGACTCGATTGACCGTGGTTGAGAAGTCAACCCCGGGTGCCCAATAGCCCCTGCCACATCCCTGGCAGCCATTGCTGGCAGCTTTTCACTCTTTTCACCCTGTCCACTCTTTTCACCCTTTTCGCTCTTTTGAGGCGCCTCAACAGCCAGCGCTGCCAGTTTTGCACCCGTAAACGCCGGGCCAAATATGGGTGTGAATCCAACAGCAAGTCCTGAACTCCTTTCGCTCCTTTCGCTCCTTTCTCTCCTTTCACTCCTTTCACTCCTTTCGCTTTTCTCTAATCCGTACTCATTGCTCCACCCCATGCCGTCCACATCAGCAGCAGCACTCCTCGCATCAGATTCACCAGGAGCAGCATCAAGCGCAGAGTCACCAGAAGCATCGTCACTGCCACCATACCTGCTGACCTGGTTACCTACTCTGTCATCCAGAGGCCACACCAGGTTCGGACCCACACCTAGGCTAGGCTCGGTGCGAGCTTCGGCAATGTCTCGTGCTGCCATTCTAGCACCTTCGGTTCTATCACCGGTGGTGCTATCACTCTCGTTACTATCACCATTGCCGCTGTCACTCCCATAGTCGAAACCCGAAGCTGCTTCAAACGCGGATGCTACTGTAGCCATGGGGTTATCCTCCTCCCTGCCTTCGTCGCTTAAGCCTTGACTGCTGACACCATAATCGGCTTCATAATGATCATCATAATCACCATCAACATCATCAGCACGAGCAGAAGCTGCTTCAAACGCGGATGCTACTGTAGCCATAGGGTCTTCCCCCCTGCTTTCATCGCTTAAGCCGTGACTGCTGACACCATTATCGGCATCGTAATCAGCAGCAGCAGCAGCAGCATCAGCAGCAGCATCAGCATCAGCATTATCAGCATCAGTAGCAGCAGCAGCAGCATCAGCACCAGCAGAAGCTGCTTCAAACGCGGACGCTACTGTAGCCATAGGGTTATCCTCCCTGCTTCCATCACCAAAAGCTTGACTGCTTACACCATAATCAGCATCATCAGCACCACTATCACCATCACCACCACCATCATCCCTATCGATTGCAGCGGCATCTTGCATCATACCACTGTGCCCCCACTCCCTCGTGAACCAGTCCCTGTTTTCCCCTTCCTTACTACTGCTACCACCACCGTTACTCGCACTATCATCCACAGCTGCGGCAACAACAACACGCCCATTAGCATCAGCACCATCATCATCATCCCTATCGATCTCAGTGGCATTTTGCACCATACCGCTGCGCCCCCAGTCCTTCAGAAACCAGTCCCTGTCTTCCCCTTCCCCGCTGCTGCTATCACCACCGCTACTAGCACTATCATCCACAGCTGCGGCAACAGCAACTCTCCCATCAGCATCAGCATCCCCACCGTCACCCCCATCGACTGCCACACCATCCTGCACCATACCGCTGTGCCCCCACTCCCTCGTGAACCAATCCCTGTCTTCCCCTTCCCTGCTGCTGCCACCACCACCGTTACTCGCACTATCATCCACAGCTGCAGCAACAGCAACACCACCATCAGCACTATCACCATCACCACCATCAGCACTATCACCATCACCACCATCATTCTCATCGGTCGCAACACCATCTTGCATCATACCGCTGTGGCCCCACTCTCTCATAAACCAGTCCCTGTCTTCCCATTCCCCGTTCCTGCTACCACCGTTATTCACACCAACGCTAGTAACATCACCGCTAGCAGCACCACCGCCAGTAGCACCAGCACCCAAAGCAGCAGCAGTGGCAACAGCATCGCCATCACCGGCACCACCGTTGCTCGAGTCACCACCTGCGCGCGAGTCACTGGGTTTGTTACTGGGTTGGTCACTCGCGCCTGTGCCGCCATGCCACCGCACCAAAAGCCCGCCCGCAAGGTCCCCCTTGAACCATCGCTGCTCCGCCCTCCGCCTCCCGCCTCCCTTTCCCCTTCCCCCTCCTCCGCCGCCTTCCCCTCTCCCTCCCCCTCCCGCTCCCCCTCCGCCTCCCCGTTCCCCTTCCCCACGACTGCCCGCACTGTCCCCGTGTCGTTCACCCAACCCCTCCAAGGACTCTAAATTAAACTCTCCGGCTACTTCTGCTTTCTTTCCCTTGCCGGCCGCTCCGCCGTCCCCCTTCCCCTCCATTTCCCGTTCCCCTTCCCCCTCCCCTTGCGACATAGGCTCCGCATAATCATCCTGATTCCATGGCGGCACGGTCTCGTAGTCTAAGCGCGACTCGAGACTCCATACGTCTTTATTCTGCGAGCTGTCTTTAATCCGTGCGTCTGCGACTGTCTCGGATTTCTTACGGCTTCCTGAGTTTACCAGTTCCGTCTCTTGCCACCTGTCATTTTGCCCGCGCTCGCCCGTGTGCCACGTGTCAGATAACCAGCGTCCGTGCGGGCGGGGGGTAGGGAAGAAGCTGTTGCGGTTGCCACGTGTCAGGTGGCCACCAATAGCAGCGCCCGACGGAGACGCGAGCCGAAAGCAGCACAGGCAAAAAAACGCGACAGCTAATAACGAGGCCGAGCGCCGAAGACGCAACGGCCGCATGATCTCTGGAAAAAAACACAAAACTGGAGAACGAACGGACCGAAATGCGTACCCAGACAGCTGGTATCGAGAAAACAGCACTCAAAATGGCAAGGAAAATAGTGGTCTACGTGGTCTACTCAAAGCCCCTAATGTATCAGTTTCGACGTTCATTGCCGATATGGTAACATATCAATCTGCGATAAAAGCGACCCTCGCTTGTTACTGTTGCTCAACTATCACGGAATAAAAATCAGAAAAACGGCGCATCGTTCTCTTGGGACCCATACAATAGCTCCCGACCTAGTAAACGTGAAAACAAGAAATACGCCTGTCAGTATAGCTTAGGAACAGCATTCCATCGAGCGAAGCAGCAGAGCTAGTCATAACGAACAAGCACCTTAGGTACGTACAGCACTCCAAAAGCTAACACGACCGGCGTTACAACCGGCGTTACACCCACTATCAGTCGAGGCGCAGTTGAGTGGCTGTTAGAAGGGACTACTAGACTGGCTGGCAGCACAGCAGAGTGTAATGGCGCGTAGCAGGTAGGGCCGATTAGGGTGATGGAGAATTTCTAGCCAACCCTTGGCCCCATCGCAGGTGTTTTCGCTGAGAGAGATCATTTGGCAGAACAACTTCTGAACCACGGTCTGTCACGGTGCTAGTACATTTTCAGCGTGAACCGAACTATCTGAAGCGGTTCTAAGCGGTAAAAGCTAAGAGTGACCCTTCATAAAAAGCCGCTTGTGTGTGGAGTACAGTCGCAATCGTCGTAAGCCCAACGACGACACCGAGTCGCGAAGGTCTGGCACGCTTCGGCGAAACACCGAACGCAGGTTGCAGCTCCCTCGTTGGCTAGGGAGGGCGCTGCCCTTACGGGGCGTGCAGGCAGTGGCGGTGCCGAAGCTGATTACTTGGTTTGGCTCGATTCGGTGGGTTCTACGCTGCGTGAGCGGCGCTACATCAATGACCACGTCCAAACAATTCTCCCCTTCTGGGAGATTCGATAAGAAAGTTCCCCCAATAACACCGCAGGTGAGATAATAAATGAAATTGGAAATTTGCTGGTTGAGTTTATGAAGAAGACAGTTCGCACTAGAGTTCATGATCTTGGAACGTATGTTGGAAGCAAAACCCCATGATGGGAGCATTGAAATACAAGGGCTTATGACAAAATTATTCATGTGACCATTATGCAAACTGGAACGCACATGATGGTTCTATTGTCACCCCCCCATGCCACCACATCCACTTATTAAATGCCATGAAGCACTGAACACGCATCTAGCTTCCTACAAGGAATGGCTGACCCAACCATGAATACTCCCCATCACCAGCCGCCATCATCTGAGCTCTAACCGTCGGAGTAATCAAATCCTGGTCTATAATATGTTTTGCGTCCATCCTAACAACCTTCCGGAACCCCCACGGCATCGGAATATTGTAACCCCTGTAAAAAGACTTCTCCGAAAACTTTCTCGGCCCGGCGCGTCCCAGCGGGCAGCTCAAATAATTCGGCCGAAACTTCAAAATCATCGACGTATTTTTCAGCCCCAAATCGTTCCGCCGGTAATTCCGGAATCCCGCAGCGTAAGGGCGATTCAGCGTTACGTTAACCTGCGTATTTAATTGCTCCGTAATGGTGAAATTATCACAGTATTTCCAGTCGAGGCCGTAATCGGTGGTGTTGACTGCGATAAGGTCAATGAGATTGTCGGTTCCCAGCCCGCTGCATGCACCGGTGACGTCAGCACCCGGCTGACCTGGCGGGTTGCATGACACGCCGCCATTGGCCGATGTCTCCTTGCACACGTCCTTCATCCAAGGCCAGAGCTGGATGTGACAATAACGAGGGGGGAGAGAAAGAGGGAAAGGGGATGGGAGAGACATGGAAGTGAGGGATGGAAGAGAGGAGAGGAAGGAGGGAAGGGAAGGGACACATCAGCTTTTATTGCACACACATTATCCCGAGGAGAGAATAAGGGGTGAGCATCAGTGGTGACTCAATGGTGACTTGGTAAGTGCGACCCAATGTGAATGTACACTTGCTCGCACTGTTGCGCCCGCCCACTCACCCCTTGTGAACCTCACTGTCTTGTGGTTCTTCCCTCTCATTCCCTCCCAGCGAAGTCAAAGGCGCCGAAATTTGCGCTTGCTTGCCGCACGCATTTGCCTCTACCATTGCTGTACCCCTGCTGCTCTGCTCTCACTCACCCGGTTGATCCTATCGCTGTTGTAGTATTTCACGCGCATCGCCTCCCAGTAGTCCCCGGGGTCCTTCAAGCAGTTGTTGACGGTCACTGTGAGGCACGAGGTCCATCCCAGCGACCCCTGCGTGCCCTTCATCGCCACGTGCTTTATCACATTCCTGCATGGGAGGAAAGGAGGGCATACGGTGAGAAGGGAGCATTCAAGGCAGCAGGTTCATTCAAGCAGCAGGTGCTGCTAACACGGGTGTATACAGTAGCACAAAGCAGCGCCCCCCCCCCCCCCATTCCACAAGCCCCTTTTCCAAGCCCAGCCTTCCCAGCATGCCCTTCATTGCGATGTGCTTTATCACGTTCCTGCATAGGAGGGGGGAAGGACAGTACGGTGCAGTGCGGTGGAAGGGGGTCGTTTAATCAGTTATTAGCACAAAGCAGCGTTCCCCCCCCCCCCTTTTCCACAAGCCCCTTTTCCAAGCCCAGTCTTCCCTCCACACCTTTTGCCGTTGTTCACTTTCATGCCATCATATGTGTTGATGCAGGCTCCGCCCCTTCTAGGCCCCACATCCCCCATGCCCCGTGTTCTTTGCCCAATCTTCCGATCTTCCTCACCTCTTGCCGTTATTCACTTTCATCCCGTCGTACGTGTTCACGCGCGCTCCACCCCGCACAAGCACGCCCGACGTGCAATAATCCAGATAGTAGCAGTGGTCACCGTTAAACACGTAGTTGCAGAGCGCGGAGTTCCCAGGATTGAACCAGTGCGTGGAGTAGTAGATCCCCGCCGAGTCATAGTCCCCCATGCCCTATGCCCAATCGCCCACATCCCATGCCATATGTACCCCATATTCCATATTCCAAACCTCCCAGCTCACTTCTTCCCGTTGTTGACCTTCATTCCATCATACGTGTTGACACAAGCTCCGCCCCGTACGAGCACTCCCGATGTGCAATAATCCAGATAGTAGCAGTGGTCGCCGTTGAAAATATAATTGCAGAGCGCGGAGTTCCCAAGGTTGAACCAGTGTGTGCAGTAAGACATCCCTGCCGAGTCATAGTCCCCCCCGTTCAGATTCCTCCCAGAGGAAATCACAAGGTTGGAGTTCCCAAGGCTTCTCACCTCTTGCCGTTGTTGACCTTCATCCCATCGTATGTGTTCACGCACGCGCCGCCCCGCACAAGCACGCCCGACGTGCAATAGTCCAGATAGTAACAGTGGTCCCCATTGAAAATATAATTGCACAGGGCGGAGTTCCCAGGGTTGAACCAGTGCGTGCAGTAGTAGATCCCCGCCGAGTCATAGTCCCCGTTCAGATTCCTCCCAGAGGAAATCACGAGGTTGGAGTTGATGCGAGTGAGCATGCAGTCACCGCTGTAATGCACGTCCGCACCGCACCGAATCCCGGCGAAAATGTAGTCGTGGATGTAGTTGTTGGTAACGGTAACACCGACCGCTCCCCGGTGCAAGACGATGGGGGTGTTGACGCCTGCAGGTGAGGGAAAGTGGCGGAGTGGGGAAGGAATTTAATGGGTGGGAAAGAGCACGATGCTGAGCGACTTGCCCTCCTGTGCGGTATAGTTGTGAATGTGAGGCGACTTGTCCTCCTGCGACCTTGACTCGCGTCGACTTTAGACAGGACATCAACTTAATACTTCGTTGTTAAAGATCACAATGTTGGCTTGCAGCACTGCAGGCCCAGACCCACACATGGCCACTCGAATCACCCCAGGCGACTTGTTAAAGGAAGCCACTCCGCTGACCTTGGCTCTAGTTGACTCGCATTGACCCCCGTTGACTCACCATACACCTCGTTGTTGGAGATCACGATGTTGGCTTGCAGCAAGGAGGGCCCATACCCACACATGGCCACTTGAATCACCCCAGACGACTTGTCAAAGGAAGCCACTCGGGTAACCTTCACTCTCACTGACTCCCATTGACTTTGGTTGACTGCAGCGTTCAGGTGGTAACAGCACCACTCACCATACACCTCGTTGTTGGAGATCACGATGTTGGCTTGCAGCAGCACAGGGCCGTACCCACACATGGCCACCCGGATCACCCCCGGCGACTTGTCAAACGATGCCACTCCAGTGACCGTGAGCGAGTCCAGGCGCACGCCCATGCTCCTAAACACGTCCACCCGCCCAAAGATGTTGCCCTGTGGGGGAGAGGGAAGAGGGGTGATAACAGAAGCACGTAGGAACGACAATATGAGAGAGTGTGTCAAAGAAAGCCCTCCTGTGACTGTGAGTGAGTCCAGCCGTACACCTGTGCTCCGAAGGACGTGCACTCGCCCAAAGATGTTGCCCCGTGGGGGAGTGGGAAAAGGTAAGCACATATGAAGGACATTGTAAGAGAGGGTGTCAAAAGAAACAAGGGAGAGCAAAAAACATGTCGTATTTGCAAAAAAATGAGGGTGGATACCTCACCTTGCCAATCTGCACGCCATAGGACCGATGGATGGAGATTGCGGGGCACATGACCCCTTTTCCCAGCTCTGGTACACTCATGCATTCGGGACTGCGCTCCGTCACCGGCAAGTAATAACTCACGTTCAGCAAAAGGAAGTGTGAGTAATAATGACCACACCATACACCAGCGAGAAATGACTCACCTTGCCAATCTGCACACCGTACGAGCGATGAATCGATATTGTCGGACAGGTCACTCCCTTCCCCAGCTCAGGCACAGTGATGCATTCGGGAGTGCTCTCCTTCACAGGCAAATAATAATTCACGTTCATCGACATTCATCTTACCATGCACAGCGATCGTGAACAGCTCAACTCACCTTGCCAATCTGCACGCCGTACGAGCGATGGATGGAGATTGTTGGGCACGTCACGCCCTTCCCCAGCTCAGGCACAGTGGTGCATTCGGGACTGCTCTCTGTAACGGGCAAATAATAATTCACATTCATTGACACGAAGTTGTTCGTGTTCCACACGCGCAGCACCGGGTACATAGGGTTACCACCCGTGAGCGTGTAACCAGGCCATTTCGACGACATGAGGATCGTGCACGACTGCTGCCGACGGAAAAACACCCCTTTCGGCAGCGTCAGATCCTTTCTCAAATACAGGATAACGGTGGTTGTGGGCGGGAGGGAGGCTCTGGCAGCGAAATCAGCAGCAGAGGTCACGTTGATTATGAAGACTTTCTTGAGCGACGTGCAGGCGCCTTGTGGGCGGTTCTTAGATGGCTGGTATCCTGCGGCTGTAGCGGCACGATGCAGGGAGACCGGGCCGATGATCACTGTTCGCCTCCTCCTTCTGGGTTGCCGCCCAGTTGCTCCGGCTGTAGCAGCGGCAGCTGTAGCAGCATTTGTAGCAGCGGTTGTAGCAGCAGCAGAAGCCCTTTTGAGAGGGAAGTCGAGGAGGAAGGGTTCGCCTGACGCAGCAGCAGCAGCCACAGCAGTGAAGAGCGGTGGGGGCTGACTGTCCCGCTCTTGCTGCTGCTGCCGCACCGACTCAACCCGACGCAGCATGTCGCCTTCGTCGTGACTGTATTCGTTGTCGAGACTGTACTGACTGTGACTGTATTGAGACGGGTCTTGGCTTAAAGAGTGTGTCAGAGCTTGGCTGTGCTGGCTGGCTGTTTGATGATAATGACGGTGGTGACCCACGCCTGCTGCGTGATGGCCCACTGATGCTGGGTGATGCCCTGTGACTGTAACGGGGGGGAGGAAAATGAGGGGGAGGGAGGGGGGAAATGGAGGGAGTGGGCAAGGAAGGGATGGAGAGTGGCTGGAAAGCGGAAGCGCCAGCCCCAGCTATTGCCAGCAAAGGTCTCGGCACTCTTTCTTTGAGTTCCTTTGATTCCGCTAGCTACAGATATTTTAGCTTGTTCTGAGCTTTTTTTTGAAGTCGTACCTCACCATGCCTTAAAACGCGTTCCTGAACGTGATTTATATAGCGAGCTTCGTAATGCAGCTTCGTAATGCCTTGAAACGCGAAACTGACCATGCTTTATACCGTGTACCTCGCCACGCCTTGAAACACGTTCCTCGCCATGGCTTGTAACGCGTACGTACCTGACCATGCTGTCACAGCGCTGCACGACGGGACGACAGGCCGATCATGACGGCGAAAATCCCGCGGACCGCCAAGGTATTACAAATCGTACCTTGCGCGTACCTTGCCTGCCTTAAAACGCGTACGTACCTGACCATGCCGTCACAGCGGTGCACGACGACAGGCCGGATATGACGGCGATGATCGCGCAGATCGTCAAGGCATTAGATATTCTCATTCTCTTGCAGGCCGCAGCGCGACCGACTGTTTTACGTCCAGTCATCCGCGAGAATCCCGCAAACCGACTCCCGAGTTGACTAACGAATAATCCCACGAATCTTCGTGGTGGCGCTGCCACCTTAATATCAGATGTCTTACAGCGGAATCTAATATATCTTTTAGTAGCATGCACTCTAAAAACCCTAAATTGCTTGCACTGGCGGAAAATTCGCAGGACACGACTGAGGCATGGCGTAACGGACAGACTTGTAACACTACCGCAATAAAAAATTCGAAACGTTGCTTGGCTGACGACTTCACATCGAATTTATGTACGGCACGGGGACGGTGGAACTCATGCCTGCTGTGCTGCTGTTAGAAGTAGCTGGTCACTGGCTGGAAACTGCTGTTGCTGCTGCCCCAGCTGATCCTGATTCTTGACTTGAATCGTGGCTGTGGTGGTGGGTGGGTGGGTGATGGAGTTCTCAGAAAATGCCTCCCGCTTTTGGTGCAGGTCGTTGGGTTGTGACGGCGGGGCAGGGCAATTATTGTTGGCAGTGGGGACGAGAATGCTCGCGACAGCTCTTCGCGATAACGACAAGAGAAGGAACTCGTTTCGACAAAGATTTCGCGAACGCGATGCAGGAACGCATCACTGAGGAAGCTGCTGATGAGGGGCAAGGGGAAGGTAGTACAATGAATGGGAGCCGCGATCTGAATCATCAGCGGCGTCGCGTCGCGGTTACCGGGTGATCCTCGCCGTCGGAGCTGAGATGTGCGCTTTGGCTTGGTTCAACAACAAATGTACATGAGCCGTGCGCAGTCGGCGAGCAGCGGCAGGAGTCGCACATGCTGAAAGTCCTGACAATTGCAGCAGCCAAACCCCGTTGACTCGACCCGCTACCCCGACGCGGCAATGTACTTTTCTCTCCAAACCGACAGATATGAGAATGGCCTGGAATCTGCTTGAAGCGAGTATGCAAGAGTTCTTAGCCAAACTGACATCTGCTTGGCATAAATGATATGCATACAGCAATAGGAGATCCACCTATACCTATCCCTTAACGTTAAGGTAATAAGGTAAGGAAGCCCCAAAATACAAACTTACTGCAAATCTTCTACAATAAATATATATGAGAGAATACGCAGCATACATTGACCAAGGATTTCTATAAGTACTTCCTACGGCCTATTTCACATCACAATATCACACCAATTGGCTCCTCAGCCACGAATATTCAGAAGTGCCCAGCATATGTGTTCGCATTGTCTTGGGGATGAGGTCATGGTCAATGATGTGATTCGTATCCATGGCCACCACCTTCTGAAATCCTGCAGGCATCGGAACGTTGTAATTCCAGTAGTACGAGTTGGTCGAAAACTTCCGAGGCCCCGTCGCTCCCTTCGGGCAGCTCAGATAATTCGGACGCCTGTTGAAAATTGGCGAACCCTTTTGAAGCCCAAGGTTGTTGCGCTTGTAGTTAATGAACTTGGCAGCAAACGGACGAACCGGGATATGATGCTCCTTATTGAGTCGCGGCACAGCAGGGTATTTCTCGCAGTACTTATAATCCGGAGCCCTCCCAGAAGTGTTCACTGTGATCAAATCAACGAGGTTATCCGTGCCGTAACCGCTGCAGGCCCCTGTTTCAGTAGCAGGTGGTTCTCCCGGTGGGTTACAAGGCACTCCGTTAAAAGCAGATTTCTCCTTGCAGACAGTTTGCATCCATGGCCACCTCTGGGAAAAGGAGAGCGGGGAAGAAAGTTTGGGGAGGAGAGGTTAGAGATGAAAAAGAGGCTGGGAAAGAGATGTTCTCCGAGTAGACTCGACGGCATTGGTCAAAGTAGCTACTGCAAGGCGATCCTAGTACACGCACAGATTTCCCTTCACAGACAGCTTTCAACGGGAAACTCTGAGGAGGACGAGGTCGGATATTGGGAACGGATAAGAGCAAGAAGCATTTGGCTGTGAAGAACGTGTTTATGGCTGCGACCCTTGTGATGCGTTGGAATGGACTGCGTTTATCTGAGTTGTGAAATTTGGCTCACATAACCACCCCCCCCCCCCCCCCTCCACCCCCCCTCACCCCCCCCAGTAGCTGCCACGGTTCTCAAGGCAGCTAGCTGTTGAGCATGAATGTAAAGAACCCACCTTTCTGACCGTGAATGCAAGAAATGTGCTTGCTGATTGTGACTGTACAGAAGGTACTCACTTGCCCTTGGTAGAAATCACCACTCCCAGTAGTTACCTACCAGGGAACCTTGAGGCAGCTCATTACTGTGAACTGTAAAGTGCTCAGTTGACATCGATTGCGGTGTGTTGTAGTATTTGGCGCGCATGGCCTCCCAGTAGCTACCAGGGTCCTCGAGGAAGTTGGCGTGACTGTAAAATGTGCTTGCTGACCGTGACTGTAAGGTACGTGCTTGCTAGACTGTACCAAATGTGCTGATTTCCTTGGCTGAACTTACCGCATTGATTGCAGGTGTGTTGTAGTATTTCGCGCGCATGGCCTCCCAGTAGCTGCCAGGGTCCTTGAGGCAGTTATTGAGCGTGACTGTAAAGCACGTGGTCCAACCAGGTGATCCCTGTGTGCCCTTCATTGCCACGTGCTTAATCACGTTCCTGTAACGAGTGGGGCAATACAGGGGATGAAAAGGAGGATAACGAGCATTTGAGCATGGTCGCAAATATTTACGGCAAGTACTGCGTGCATAAAGCAGATTTCCTTAATCGATCGATGCAATACATTCCTCCCATATCGGGCAATGCCGTGAGGGACTGAATGAGAACGGGCACGAGAGTGCGGCCTATCATGTGAGCAAGTGACAAGCACGTACGCCTGAGCAAGTTTTAAGCATGAACATTAACAGCAGAGAGCCCTGATGCACGTAGTTTATAGCTGTGGACCGTGATAAGATTGGTCAGTCAATAAAACGATAGCTCATGTGAACATTATTCTCACCTCTTGCCATTATTCACTTTCATGCCGTCGTACGTGTTGATGCAAGCTCCGCCCCTTACGAGTACGCCAGATGTGCAATAGTCCAGATAATAACAGTGATCTCCGTTAAACACATAGTTGCAAAACGCTCTGTTGCCTGCATACCAATGGGTGCACACAAGGACAGGGCAAAGGGTGAGCGGGAGTGTGCTGTGCTTTTGCACCAGCTTATGGCCAGCTTGCTTCGTGGGACAGAAAAGCAGCCGTTTCAACTCTCACTCGGTCTTTTAACTTAAACATTTCTTGTATTTTTATGTATCTGCAAATGTTGACAGTTCACAACTGCATCTGTCCTTCCTCTTTCCATGTCTACTGAAGTCAACGAGACCAAAACCGCACACACCCTATTTCCCGAGCCCACACTCCCCTCTCTTCCCCATTCCACCTCCTCCCAACATGAGTACCACGGTCTACCACAAAACGGCGAACCCTAATGTGATATATCCAGTATTTGAGCAATATTGGGTCTTAAAATATCGACAGTTTTCAGGCTTACCAGGGTTGAACCAGTGCGTGCAGTAATAAATCCCCGCCGCGTCGTGATCCCCGTTAGTGTTCCTCCCCGACGCCACCACACGGTTCCAGTTGATCCGTGTCAGCATGCAGTCGCCGCTGTAGTGCACGTCCGCGCCGCACCGAATGCCCGCGAAAATGAAATTGTGCACGAAGTTGTTCGTAACGGTTATGCCCACCGCGCCCCTGTGCAAAACGATCGGGGTGTCCACGCCTGTGCAGAAAAGGGGGGAAAAGGAGGGGAAAGGGGTGGGAGTGGGGTTGTGGAGAGGGGGAGGTGATAAGCGCAAGAAAATACCCGTGGGTTGGGAAACGAGTTTCTCAAGTCAGATCTTGCTACTTGAAACAAATGATTAGCACGAAGAAACCGCAAAATTTTTTTTTTCCTGATGACGAATCTATGAAGTCAGACCTCGATTCAATCAAATAACCAGAAGAAACGTCAATCCACTCGCTCACCAAAGACCTCGTTTTGAGGCACAAGAAACGAGACTCACCAAAGTTCTCGTTTTGAGACGGAAAAAAAATGAGACTCACCGAAGACCTCGTTGCTCGAGAGAACGATCTGGGCGCGCAGGAGGTCAGGGCCGTAGCCCGACATCGCGACGCGAATGGCGCCCGGCGACTTGTCGAAGGTAGCCACTCCAGTGACCTTGAGCGAATCAATGCGCACGACCATGCTCCTCAGGACGTCCACTCGTCCGTACACCGTGCCCTGAGAAACAACGGGGAGAGCAGGAGCACAAGAGAGGAAGGCATTTCGCTGGGGGGACGACGGAGGGGGGAGATAGGGTGTTAGTAAGAGAGCGGAGCGGAGACCTTGAGTGAGTCCGAACGACCGCGTTTCTAAGGACGTCCACTCGTCCGTACACCGTGCATTGTGGAATATGGGGGTGGTTGGGGGGAGAAAAGGCGAACGATTTGCACTCCATAAGGCTCGTAAACCGAGACAACCATTCCTATGTGAGGAAAAAGCGGAATGCCGAGAAAGGTGAGAAGCAAAACTCGGAAATGGCAATCGAAAATCGGCAACGGTCACTCACCATGCCGATCTGCACTCCATACGACTTGTACACAAAGACAGGGATCATTTTCGAGTCGACACAAATGTCACCTTTGGGAGTACGCAACGGTCACTCACCATACCAACCTATCAGGCGCATCAAAATGTCACTCACCATGCCAATCTGCACTCCATACGACTTGTACACCGACACAGCGGGACACGTCACGCCCGTGCCCAGCTCCGGCACGTTGGTGCATTCCGGGCTGCCCTCCGTCACGGGCAGTTTGTAGTTAACGTTCATCGACACGAAATTGTTCGCGTTCCACACGCGAATCACCGGATTCGCCAGGTCCGTACTCGATATAGTAAACCCCGGCCACTTCTCGCTCATCAGAATCGTGCACGAGTACGGTGCGTTGAACAGAAGGCCCTTGGTCAGCGCCAGGTCGTTTTTCAGGTAGAGAATAACAGTGGCGGTGGGCGGCAGCATGGTTCGCG